TCTCAGTACATAAGGCAGTTGTTAACAAACATAAAAGAAGTCAACAATAACATAATAGGGACCTTAACACCTCACTTACGTCAGTAGACAGATCATCCAGACAGAAAGGAAATACAGGCCTTAAATGACACATCAGACCAGATGGACTTAATTGATATCTATAGAGCATTCCATCCAAAAGCAGCAGAATACACATTCTTTAAGTGCACGTGGAACATTCTCCAGAATCGACTACATGCTGGCCCACAAAGCTAGCCTCAGTAAATTTAAGAAAACTGAAATTGTACTAAGCATCTTTTCCAACCACAATGGTATGTTAGAAATCAACTACAAGAAAAAACTGTAAACACAGGGAGGCTAAACAGTATGCTACTAAACAACCAATGGATCATTGAAGAAATCAAAGATAAAATCAAAAAATACTTTGAGACAAATGAAAACAAAAACACAGTGATCCAAAACTTCTAGGACACAGCAAAAGCAGTTCTAAGAGGGAAGTTTAGCGATAAAAGCTGACCTCAGGAAACAAGAAAAATCTCAAGTAAACAACCTAACCTTATATGTAAAGAACCTAGAGAAAGAACAAACCAAACCTAAAGTTAACAGAAGAAAAGAAAGCATGAAGATTACAGTAGAAATAAATGAAATAGAGACTTAAAAAAAAAAGAAAAGATCAATGAAACTAAAAGCTGGTTCTTTGAAAAGATAAATGAAATTGATAAACCTTTAGTCAGACTCATCAAGAAAAAAAGGGAGGGGGCCCAAATTAATAAAATCAGAAATGAAAAAAGAAGTTACAACCAACACCACAGAAATACAAGGGATCATAAGAGGCTACTATGAGCAACTACACATCAACAAAAGTGATAACCTACAAGAAATGGACAATTTCTTATAAAGGTACAATTTGCCAACACTGAACGAAGAAGAAATAGGTAACATGAATAGACCAATTACGAGTACTAAAATTAAATCAGTAATTTAAAAACTCCCCAAAACAAAAGTCCAGGACCAGAATTCACAGGTGAATATTTATTTTGGTAAATACAAAATATTTAAAGAAGAGTTAACACCTATTCCAAAAAATTGCAGAGGAAGGAACACTTCCAAACTCATTCTATGAGGCCATGATCACCCTGATACCAAAACCAGAAAAAGATCAATGGAACAGGATAGAAAGTCCAGAAATAAACGCACACACTTATGGTCAATGAACCTATGACAAAGGAGGCAAGAATATACAATGGAGAAGAGACAGTCTCTTCAATAAGTGGTGCTGAGAAAACTGAACAGCTACCTGTAAAAGACTGAAATTAGAACAGTCTCTAACACATATACAAAAATAAACTCAAAATGGATTAAAGACTTAAATGTAAGACCGGATACTATAAAACTCCTAGAGGAAAACATAGGCAGAACACTTGGATATAAATAACAGCAATTTATTTTTTGAACCAGTTCCTGAAGTAATGGAAATAAAAGCAAAAACAAACAAACAGGACCTAATTAAACTTAACAGCTTTTGCACAGCTAAGGACACCATCAACAAAATGAAAAGACAACCTATACAGAATGGGAGAAAATATCTGCAAATGATGCAACCAACAAGGGACTAATTTTCAAAATATACAGATAGCGCATACACCTTAATATCAAAAAAAAAAGCAACCCAATCAAAAATTGGGCAGAAGACCTAAACAGACATCTCTCCAAAGAAGACATCCAGATGGCCAACAAGCACATGAAAAGATGCTCAACATCACTAATTGCTAGAGAAATGCAAAGCAAAATTACAATAAAGTATCATCTCACACTGGTCAGAATGGCCACCATTAAAAAGTCCACAAACGATAAATGCTGGAGAGGGTGTGGAGGAAAAGGAACCCTCCTACGCTGTTGGTGGGAATGTAAATTGCTGCAGCCACTGTGGAGGACAGTATGGAGGTTCCTTAAAAGATTAAAACAGACTTACCATATGATCCAGCAATCCCACTCCTGGGCATATACCCAGAGAAAAATATAATTCAAAAAGACACATGCAACCCAGTGTTCATAGCCACACTATTTACAATAGCCAAGAAATGGAAACAACCCAAATGACCATCAACAGATGACTTGATAAAGAATCTGTAGTATAGATATACAGTGGAATACTACTCAGCCATAAAAATAATAAAATAATACCACTTGCAGCAACATGGATGGACCTGGAGATTGTCATTCTAAGTGAAGTGTTCTAAGTGAAGTAAGCCAGAAAGAGAAAGGAAAATGCCGTATGATATCACTTATATGTGGAATCTTAAAAAAAAAAAAGGACACAAATGAACTTATCTACAAAACAGAAACAGATTCACAGACACAGAGAACAAACTTATGGTTAGCAGAGGAGAGAAGAGATGGGAAGGGATAAATTGGGAATTCAAAAATTGCACGTCCTGGGGAGTGATGGAAACGTTAGCTATCTTGATTGTGGTAGAGGTTTCATTGGTGTATACATCTACTGAAATTCATCAAATTGTACATTTGAAATATGTGTAGTTTATTGTTCAGGAACCATACCACAATAAAGATGTTAAAAAAAAAAGTCTTTATGTTGGCTCTGGCAAGCAAGTGATAGTGCCATTCTTTTTCATGACAGTAGAGAGGGCGTGGGGTTAGGGAACAGATTTCTAAGAAAGACCACCCATTTTCCTCCCTTGACCATTCCCCCATGCAGTTTCTACCCTTTGGTCCTCATTCCCCAGCCCTTACCTTATTTAACTGAATTTCCTCAATAACTGTTAAGACAGATGATGTTATTTATATTTTCTGAGAAAACTGAGGGTCATCAGTACTAAGTAACTGACTAACGACCAACAAAGCAAAAAAAGTTCCAAATCCACAGTCGAGAGTCTACCTACATTACAACTGCTGCAGAGGGATGAGGAAGCTTCCCGGGCTCAGCTCAACAGGCAAGGCAGGGATCAGGATGTTAGTATCACAATGGAAATTCCTAAGAGAAAAGCTTGACTGTTACGCACACGGTCCTGACTAAATATCATCGTTGGCTGGTCCAGGGTTCGTTCTTTCATCCACCCAGTATTGTTCCTCTGTTGGAACTTTATTAACAAGAAGAAGAATATGGAATGATTAAGTCAGCAACATAAGACGGCTCTCGAAATTTTCTCAATAAATGAGAGCATTGTTTCCAAATCTATCCTTATTCTTTCAAAATGGATAGTTTTGATTAGATATTGAGGTAGAGACTACTTTCTGTCATATTTTATAAAACCTGTTTTTATAACTGTATTTAAATCTTCCATCCTCACACCATCCTAATAGCATTGCCTTGCTTTTGTTTCCTTCCAGTCTTTATCCACATATTTTGAAATACTTATTCAATCTTTCCATTTTCCACACCATGCAGTGATATCATTTTATTCTGCCTTTAGACTCAATACGTTCTTTGTTCTATTAACAAAGAATTGGTAGACAAAGTATTTCAAAGCTTAACATGCATTATTCCCAAATCATATTTGTTTTCTTAGTTTGATGCTATGACAAAATGAAGGTAGAATGAACGGCTATTGTTTATTAAAGTGGACTAATAATTAAGTCCATGAATAAAACTTGTCAAGGAACTGAATGATCCTCTGGCAATACTGTTCTGGTTAAAGAATAGTATTTTCTAAAAAAATTATCATACAAGTTTCTCTAAAGACATGTAAGACAGGTGAACATAAAGTTAAACTGCAATCTAGATTATTACTTAGTAGGCTGTTCCTTTTGATCCTTCCGGTACATACAGGCACTAACAATTATATGTGTCTACCTAGAAATGACAGGAGGAACCCTTGAAATATAAAGTGTATTTTATTAGCTGTAGATGTACTCTCCCTCTAATAAAACATGTTAACTTACTTGACATTTATTTATACAAACTCATTTAATAACTTCCACATTCATTCTTGTCAAAGGTAGTATTTCAATTTAATTATGATTAGGGGCTTATTTAAATCACTATAAAAAAAATCTCATTCCTCATCTAATGACGCCAGTGACAAATACAAAGCTGTCTACAGCAGCACTGCTCGTTTATTACACTAATTTTCCAGAATATATAACTTCATTGTAAAAGCTTTTCCTGAAAAATTATGAAAGAAGTAGCTTTTTAATTCCTAAAGTTCTCATCTGAATTAGAATAGAGTTAGGACAAGTTTTTAGAACACAGAACTGTGAGCTTATTTTAAATCTCATGTTATCTAAATTATCTTTAACATCGTGGTCATATCTGACCAATTTCTGTGAGAGTTTAAGGAATATTCAGAGATGCTTTTTCTCTTTATTAAACATTTGGGCATTGTACTGGGTTGAACTGTGCTCCACCTCCCATCTCCCAAAAAAAGAGATGTCTACCAGGAACATGTAAATGTGATCTTATTTGGAATAAAGGTCTTTGCAGATGTAATTAAGGCAAGGAGCTTAAGATGAAGTCATTCTGAATTAGGGTGAATCCAATGATGACTGTCCTTACGAGAGATAGACAGGGAGAGGCACATAAAGACAGAGGGAAGAAGGCCATGTGAAGATGGAGGCAGACATGGGAGTTACACTGTCACAAGCCAAGGAATGCCAGGAGCCACTAGAAACTGACAGACGCCAGGAAAGAGTCTTCCTAGAGCCTTTGTAGGGATTGTGGCCCTGCTAACACTTTGATTTAAGGCTTCTGCCCTTCAAAATTGTAGGAGAAGAAACTTCTGCTATTCCAAGCCACCATGTATGTGTATGGTAATTTGCTGCAGCAGTTCTAGGAAACTAATACAGATACATTTGAAACTGACTGGAGGTTTTGAATTCCTTTAAATGTTACTCTGTCTATTCTGTGTTTGTAGACCAGATCTTTTCTTTGAAGTGCATTAAAGACTGAATATCTGTCACTAAAGACAAAAACCACCCTTAAATACCCAATATTCTATTTATCTCATAAGGTTACTGTTTTGGCTTTATTTTATCAACCACAGATGTGGCTGGTGGTTATTCATCGTCCATGCTTGATGCAATCAGAAGAGCAGTGATGGTTTCCAATACCCTTTCAATTAATAAGATAAATGCAAAAAGCCTCACCCTCAAAGAGGTCTTCAGACTAGCTACTCTTGGAGGAAGCCAAGGTAATAATCATTTTATTTCTCTCTTGCACAGTGTACAACCATGTCAGTCTGTGCCTCTGGCTGCAGTATAAGGGCACATGACAGTGGCGTCAGCATGGCATCCTGTGCTCATGATTGTCACATCTCACATAACATACCCAAAGTTTAGCAAGTAAAGTACATGTTTAAGTATGTGGTGGAGGCATCATTCTTTTGGCAAGTTCCCTGTTTTTGGCAAAAGAGATGTTCAGTATGCAATTATATTGTTTTAATGGATACCTGCATTGCTCATACGCATGAGTTCTTTAAAACCATCAGCTTTTTCCATTGAGTCAAGTAACACACTCTATTGGCCTAAGTAGTAATACTAATAATAATAGCCATGAATCTTGTCATGTGATAGGCACTATGCAACATGCTTTCTGCATGTTATTATTTAATCCTCAGAGCCACTGTTATTAATTCCATTTTACTAGCTAGGGACCTGAGTGAGGGTTATATACCTATTAAGCTACTGTGTGCCATGATTTGAATCCAGAAAATCTGGCACCAGAGTGCAGGTTCTTACCCACTGCCTTCCATTGTGGTAACTTCCTGAATAAATCTCAGCTTAAACCATGCATTTTGTTGATATATTTAAGTATATTAATCACTTGAGCCTCTTTAAAAGGAGAAAGATGTAAAAATATAGTTGGTTGATATGCAAATATTGTTGATCAGCTTTTCCCAGTTTTCACATGTAACTGTTTTTATGGAAAAATAGCAATTGTTAATTGTACTACTTCCAGTCACTTTAGTATACAGTATAATCTGGATAGATGATGGTGAACATAGCATGAAATCTTAAGTAGCAAGTGAGAAATAACACAGATCTTGAGAGGTGTACATTTTTTATATATTTTAATTTTTTTACATTTATGATATATACCCTAGATCTTAGAAATGAAGGACAATGGAGGCCAAGAGTGTCCTGGGAAGAGAAACTTCCTGGCTCTTCTTTGAATGTTCCAGGCTGTGATGAATGCCATAAAGGACATTTCAAGAAAAACAAGTAGAGGTCATGCTCTTTGCATTTCCCTAAGTCTATGATTTCATTTTCTGAAGTTCCATTATTTTAGCAAGTGTGACACTCCCCACTGCCAGCCCACTTCCACATCTGAGTTCAAGAAGTTGTCCTACCACCTTATTTTCATGGTATAAACATCCTGTATTTAAAAAGTGCTTTTTTTAAATTCTAGGCTCTCTGTGAGTTGTTTCTTCAGGATCCTGTGTCTGACCAGGCCGGCATGGGGTGCTTACCACATCATTTCTACCTTGTTGTGTAGCTTTCAGATCTATTTTCTGGGCTGCTGGGGTTACTGCCAGGGAATTTCTTTTTCCTTAGCTTGTGTTTCTATGAGAGTCTGAGTGAAATGAGATGAATGGACCCTTGTTTAAAGTTGGCATCCTCCCAGCTTTACATTCACTCTCAAAATCAAGACATGCATAAATCACCTTCACAAAGCCATCACTGCTCATCATTTGCTCCAAAGACAGCAAAACTGCATTTCCTAAAATGCACCTGAGTTGCCCACCAGCCCAGCTGGGCCTCTCTGCAGTAATCTGAATTTAGGTCAATTTACAAATTCACTGAGAGTAGCAGTATCTTTCTGGTTAGTTCATGCCTGAACTCTCCAGGTTCTTACAAATAGTCCAGTTAGTTTACAAACCCTGGCAAATGAACCTGGTTATCTGACCTATTAAACATGCAACCACTTTCTGCTGAATATAGTCATCAAAAGCTCATGTTTATCATGCTTCTTTGTCAAGGGCAAAACGAAGTAGAGTGTGATCACCGAAGGAGGAAAAAATTTCCAGTGATTTTCTGCTGCATTCAGTTCTTCCTCACACAATCAGTAGAAGTCACCTAACTGCTTTTAACATTTCTAATTATGTTTGCACCCGTCTTCCTATAAGAATTCTTTAGCTAAAAAGTTTTTCCTTTCTGAGAATAACAGAGTTACCCTTTAAATAGCCATTTAAGAACAAGGAGAACATCTAAGTCGGTGCTTAGAGCATTGCCAGAAGACTTCTGGGTATCCACACACAGAAATATAACGTAGCATGTATTGCCTAACAGGAATATGGGATCTAATATTCTCACTTGGGACTGTATCCTGACAGCGACAGAACACAACAAATACATGTAACAATTCAAATAAACAATGCTGCACTCCAGTTGGCACACTCTATTCAGATTTTGAGGAGCTTTAAATTCAGTATCCTCATTGACCAGGAAAGCCAACTACCCTTATCTTCTGAAACTAAACCATAAAACTGAGATGTTCTTCCTCCGTGTCCACAATTCACAGAACACGAATTTTAGCTATGAGATGGATCAAGCCAATAGATGTTACTGACCTATGCCTTATTTTAGAAAATCACTCTTCTCTGGCAATCAGAAAATCTTTAAGGTTACAGAGAATTTAATCTGCTTTCAAAGCACTGGTGCTCTTGAGTTATGAGGATCTATTTACTTTCAGAAGTGAATTTTTTCTATTCAAAAGGTTTAAACTAAGGAACTTATGATGGATATGTCTGCACTGACAGATATGCAAAAGAACAATTATTTTTTGTTTATTTGAGGTTCATTTCAAAGCCACAAAAATAGATCTTGTCGGCTATTTCATAGAACAAAAAGAACAAAAAAAGCAAGGAAAGGAACTGGAATGTCAGTAGAATAGGAGGGAAAAAAGATACATAAAGTGTCATGTTTCTCAGAGGGATGAATGGAAATCAGAGACCAGCAGGGCTGTGAAGGGCCCTGACAGAGCTGAGACAGACAGACACCATCAGAATTACGATCATGGTGATGAGGAGAACTTCTTTTATTCTCAGATTTTGCTTTCCCTGTGCTTATTCTGGTTTCTGTAAGTTGAAGTCTTGCAACCTATTGGAATGCTTCACTATTAAGATACTAACTTTTTTCTAGTGACAAGTTGGCAGATTCTGTCCTTGCAAACTGGGGCACTTGCATGGTCTCATGGCTCGAAATCCTGACTGTTTATTAATTTATTCCACCCTATAGCCCTGGGGCTGGATAAAGAGATTGGAAACTTTGAAGTGGGCAAGGAATTTGATGCCCTTCTGATCAACCCCAAAGCATCTGACTCTCCCATTGACCTGTTTTATGGGGATTTCGTTGGTGATATTTCTGAGGTACGTAAAAGGAAGTTGATCAAAAGGCATTTATTTCATGAACTAGTCACAGCAGCTTCCTGATAGAAAAAAAAATAGACACTGGAACATTTTAATGGAATGCAGGAGAATCTTAAAAGAGAAGCTAGGTCCTTTTAAGTTATAGTTTCATGACAATAATGGTATTAAGGAAACAGTTGTATTTTGAATATATTTGTATATTTGAAGGTATCTGTCCATAAGAAGCCATAGTACTGCTATCCCTTACTGAACCCACTTGCGATGTGCCAGACGGCATAGGATTAAGTACTTTCATAAATCATTTTTGTTTAATTACCAGAGCAACTATTATGAGAAGCAGGTGCTATTAATATTGTCATGAGGCTTAAGGGAGGTTAAGTGATTTACCAACGGACTCATGGCTAGTAATTAGTAAGTAGTAGACAATTTGGATTCCATCCCAGGGCTTTCTAACTTCTGGAGTCTGGGCTCTTGCCCATAATGCTACATTGATTTTCTTAATTTTAAGAAAATGAGTTTTATAACTTTGTTCCTATTATTATAAAATGTTTTTCCATGTATAAACTGGTCCTTCTTACTTTAATAACAATTCTTCGTGAAGTACAGTTTTTCTTAATGTGATCCTAAATATAACACATTGAGGTTTTTAGAAGAAAGATGCTGGATTATTTGAAGGTGATACCATTAGTTACTTTCATATTACTTATTCTGTTACTTTTTTTTATTAGAATGAGTTTCTGGGAATAGGTCCCACTCATCCAGGCATTTTTGAGTTATATATCTCTTGAAATATTTAAATTATTATATTAAATTAAATTATTTGATTTATGTGATACTTTTCCTCTGAAGATTTCAAGGTTAAGAACTTTCAGGCAATGGAAAACATTTGTTAATAGTTTTTTTTTTTAAAAGGCAAAAGCCCATTGCTTTCTCATTAATAAAAGTAGGTTTCGGGGTGTTCAGTGCCAGCTTAGGTGAGACAGTGATTGACAGCCATAGAAGCCAGCTCCTGTGAGTAGACTTAGGTCTTTTTGGCCATAGTTTATTTAGCATTTTGACTTGGGATACTGGGTTGTTAGTGACAAATAATTTCTTCCCCTTCACCCTTCCTGCCTGGCTCTGTTATTGGAATAGCCATCAGTGTATCCATTTCTGGGACCAAGTTCTAGCCAGGCTAAGAAAAATAACACAGCAGAGAAAAATAATTTTCAAATGGATGGATTATGTGTCTTGTATCAAGATCTTTTTAGGGCTTTAATTCAAAATATTATCACTGTAGATCCTTACTAGGGAATGCAAGACTAAAGTAATCCAAATGTGTAAATGCAAACAGACATTGATTAACCAAGGTAGCGTCTTTTATGTAAATATATAAATAATTTTGGGCACTGAAATGTACAACCAACACATTTTTCTCTGTGGGTTTAGCCACCATTTCATTAATATATATGTTTACAAAAGAAAAAAAACGTTCAGGAAAAAAATTTTAATAGATTTTGCCATTGAGAAATAAATTTATATTTCTGGGTTCTGCCAACTACTATAGGCTGTATATTTAGTTTTGTAAATGCACAAAATATTATTTCTTATTATTACTTTTACTTTTCACTTTAGGCTGTTATCCAGAAGTTCCTCTATCTAGGTAGGTAGATACATGTCTTTATGCTAAATAAAATCTTTGTCTCTTAGGGTATGCTGTCTGCATTTACTGTACCGTATGTTAAACCCTATGTGTGATCATTTGCTTTGAATCTTTTTTTTTTTAAACATTACTCAGCATTGAGCACAATATTTAAAGGCACTATTTGAAATGAATATGCTCCTCTAGATCATACAGTCCTAAGTCCTAACCTGAGGACTGGCCGGCCAGAGGGGAGCGAGTCCCTCCCTCCCTCCTGCACTCGCTCGGTGCTCCGCAGTCTGCCCTACCATGTTGTATCTGTGATGAGTATGTGATGGAGTCTTGCCACCTGTGCTTTTTAATGTCCTCACATTCAGTTCTACTCATTGAGATAAGTAAATAGTGCGGAAGATTCTGCTCTTCCACTCTGCTGAGTGAGCTCTGAGTCCTGAGTGAACTTCGGATGGGAGAGACACACCCTGTATTTCTTATGAAAGCTCAATTCTGGCAGGCCCTTCATCTCACCATGCTGAGTAGGATTCTGGGGCATAAAATAAGCATTTCCTTTACAACTGGGGCTGGAAATGGGAACCACTCACTTCAGCTGAAAGGACAGCTTGGGTGCCGATTCAGCTTCATGTGAATTCTGCTTTAAATGCATATTTCAGACCTTAATCCTCAGATTAGAGGTAGCATCTTCTATTGGTCATGTCTCCCCATTCAGGTTGTAAACAATCTGAGAGGAAAAGAGCAGCTTTTTGTATTTTCTCAGAAGTATTTTTTTGTTTTTACATTCTTCCCAGGGACAATTAAAATACTTACTGATACAAAAACACTTTATAAATGATTGCTTGATTTTTCTTTCAGGGGATGACCGAAATATTGAGGAGGTTTATGTGGGCGGAAAGCAGGTGGTTCCCTTTTCAAGCTCAGTGTAAGACCCCTGCTTCTGCGAGTTCTCTTGGGATAACGCGGTTCTGCGTCTCCCTTGTGCCCAGGCGGAGTCGGACGTAGTACCTTTTCTTGGGATGACTATCTCCTTCTGTGTCTAGTTACAGTACTCACTTGACAAATCGTTGGAAGGAAGCTGTGCTAATTCTCACCTCTCTGGTTGGGAGGATTAAAATTTTTTCCTTTTTGAGCTGTTCAGATTTACTTTAAAGCTCAAACATAAGGGAATGTTATTACTGGTGGTGTTCTGATTATGAGATTTAAATAAATCTATTTCACATTTGGAAATGTGGAGAGAAAAGATATTCCTATAAGGCTAGATATTTTGAGCTAATAAATGTGAAAATTAGAAAACAGAAAATGAACCAGTGAGTATATTTTTATGAGAGAAAAAGACTATGAACAAATGTTGGAAAATCACTTCAGATTGTGTTTGAAAATTATATACTGAGCATACTAATTTAAAAAGAGGACTTGTTGAACTTTAAAATGTGCTTCTAGATTGACCTTGTGTTCCAGAAATTTGCATTTAACGGAATTTGCATTTCAGAGACATGTTATTGTTGTGCTTTGCCTTCTTTGGGGATGAAATGTCAGAAATTGAATGCCACATGCTTTCTAATATAGTTCTGTGCTTCAAAGTGTTTGACAGAAGTTGGATATTAAAGATTTAAAGTCTCTTAGGAATATTATTCACATAACTACGTGCCATAAATAGCTGTACTTCTCTGTACTTTAAAATCACCTTAATGTATAACCGTGTGATGCTATTATTGCTTCAGTTTTGTTAGAAGAGAAACAAATTCCATACTCCACTCTTGTGTAGACCGGAGCCTTCATAAATTGGGGCAAATCCTAGGCATCCAGGAGCTGTCACTACTAAAAGGAAGGGTGTCACTGCAATGACATATTCTCCCCAAGAACTATGCCATAGTTGCTGGAAATTTCATACACAGATATCAATCTGTCAATACTTTAAAATGAAGGACAAATCCTATCAGACAAATATTATTAAAAATCTTTAAACGTTGCACTGTACATTGTACATTGCATATTGAAAGCACTCTATTTTTCAATTTTTCCCTTTTGTCTCTTTAATCCTTAATAATTTTCAGGACATTAGAATTTTAGGATAATGAAAAATACATAGATGTCCCACTAATGTTTATATTAATAGGACTTAATCTGTAGTAGACATCTGGGAACAGTAAACAAAGCAAAGAGTGTTTTTATGCTTCCTGACTAGTATAATATGCTTTCCCATAACCTGGAATTAAAGACAGATTATGACTTCATGATAAATCCTTAAAAAGTACTGATGTGAATGTTATTTAAGTACTAATTTAATTCCAAGTACTATAAACCAACAAGGAAAAGGAGTAGATTTTCTTAATGTAACACTCACACCTAGGGTTTAGGTTAGGGCGTAGTGCGACTCCTACTATCTCCTCACAGTAGAGAACTGCATGTAATGCAGCTAACTCCCTAGCTACAGAACTCAGAACAAAACTCCCTCCTGGGTACTACAGATTTTATTCTCACATAGTCATGCTAATTCAGCAGTAATTTGCGAGTCCCTGGTGTCCTCCCGGGGAAGCACTTTTAGATTTGTGTATACACTACACTTAAAGATGGAACAAATTTGGGGTCTTAAAAAAAAACCAACAACTGAGTTTGTGTGGGGGGTATTAATTAAGTAACTCAACTTAAGTAAACCCAGTCTCCAGTCTGTTTCCAGAATTCCTAATTCCTCAGCCGTGTCTAAGATGTCCCGCTGAATCTCTCTCCATTTCTTTATAGTGTCGGCAAGTGTTTTCTGCTCTATCTCCCAGTCCCTGACAAGGGAAATTTGTTACCTGGAGTCTAACCCACACGAGTGGGCCTAGGAACCTGGCTGACATGTGCAAGATCCACTAATAGGCAGCAGCTATTCCAGGCCTTTGCAAGATCCTATGCTTTTCCCTTCCTGAAGGGTGTACATTTTGATACATCAGTTTTCATTTAGATTTAGGACTCAAATGCAGTCAGCATAAATAAGTGTAGCATCAGAAGCTATGGAAGAATGGCCATATACAACTAATCTGTCGAATGTTAACTTTAGTCCTGATAGTATGTTAAAACCTGAAATCTCTCTTCTAGTAAAAACAGAATGTGTTGAAATGTTTACATGTACTTTTATCTCCCTGAATCGCTTATAACTTAGGTGTTTTATTTCCCCAAGTGCAGTGTTGCTGAATGTTGCATGTGCTTTTTGTGGTACTGCAGGCTCTAGCCATACACGTGCCCAGATGTTCTGCACTTGAAGTGTTGCCTTTGCTTCATGTAAATTGACTTTCTGAATTGCAGAGAGGCAGTATTCCAAGCCAATCCTATTTGTCACTTTATGTTTGAATATTTTGCTTTCTGACAGGAAAGGAAGAATTAAAACTTTTTCTCAGCCCCCTCACCCTACCCTGCACTATTTGCCTCAGGTTTCATGATACTTTTAATGGAATACAATTTAACAGGTAAAAACATATTCAATAATATGGACTCTCATGCATTTAAAAATACTTTTGCAACCAGAACACAAAAGCAGGCTAATCAGCTAAGGCGAATTTAACTTTCAAAAGAAAATGAAATACAGGATTAGGACAGGAGAGGCTGTCCAGGTAACTGTAAGCTGAGACTGAGGAACCTCTGTCCCTTATTTATGCTCCCAGCTTCTTCTGATTTAATTGTAAAAGGTTTTAGAATCCAAGGGAGTATCTCGAAGTAAGCTCCCTTCTTGCCAGGAGGTCTTTCTAAATTGACATTGTGAGTGCTGAGCCCCACCGTATCTCTTTTTCATTTCTGTGAGAATTCTGTACCGTCAGGGAAGAAAGGCAGTGGGGAAGCACCTCTGTTATGCTTAGCTGATGTGAAGTATGCCCTTGAATAGCCCTGTTGGCAGCTACGGGGGAGATCTCAGAAGGGAAACATAATGGCTGTGAGATCCAACAATGTACTTTGGATCTTCACTCCCTTCCAGACTCTTCTTATTCCTAATCTTTCATCCCAGAATCAGACGTAAGGAAAGCTTTAAAGGCAAGCTGGGAAGCACATTTTATCAGTCCTACCTTGTGCTATACACGAAAGATGTCCCAAATTGGATGCTTTTGTAACCTAGTGGGCAGAGATGATGCTGCCAAAAACATTCACGTGTTTAAAAAGTGTTCTGAGTTATTATGAGGTGGACTAAAAAATGTGTTATGGACAATGTCTTGAAGTAATTTTCAAATTTGTGAATTGCTGTGAAATTTTAAGGTGTTTCTTTTACTTTGCAACCCCAGGTCTGCTTAGCCAACTTTAGGTATGACTTTGGACCCTGATTTTTTTTTAATGTCTCTAAAGGAAAAGCATGGGAAGAAGTGCACCAGTGCGTGGACACTTGCTGGAAGCCCTGGCATTGGGCACATGCATGTTTTCATGCCCAGCCACCATTCCCTTCCCCTCCAACAGCCCTGAGTTTGAGAAACTAAGAGGTGAGGGGTTAGTTTGTACATCTGGTCCAAATTTAGTGAAATGCAAAAGTTGAACAGGCCATTGATGTAAATTCCAAGATGGTTTCCACAGTCTGAGGTTCAAGTGACTTGAGTAGCAGGTGTTATGTGGTGTTGACTTACCTGTTCACCTCCTGCTCAGAGGCCTGTCAGAAAGCTTTCTTTATCCAAAACCACCTTACATTGTGTTAAAACTTCTATTTGCTGCTCTTAAGAATATATCTATGTACGTATTCATGGGGACATCTTTCCTCAGTATTTGTATGATTTGCTTATTGTTCTGTGCTGAGTGAGCTCCTCTGTGATTCAGACAAAAATAAATGAGATTTTTGTGTTTACATTTTTTGTTGTTGTGAGTTCTGTCAGTCTGATAGAAGGGGGATTAATCTTATAGTGTTTTTCTCCTTTTAACATGAATTTAAAAAGACAGACAGGGTCAACTGTATAGTGACAGATGGAAACTAAATTTTTGGTGATGAGCATGCTGTAGTGTATACAGAAGTAGAAATATAATGTTGTACACATGGACCTTATGTAATGTTTTAACCAATGTTATTGCAATTAAAAAAAGAAATATCATAAGACTGCTTTAAAAAAACCAAAAAAGACAAAACAGAACATTTAGCTGTGGGCCAACATGTTTCTGCCATCCTACAATAGTCACTGTACATAGCTCTTAAAAATTAAGCTATTGCTATAATGTTCAGCCCTTTAGAATCAGATTGCTACTGCCTTTGATTTCAGCAGAGTTGAAATTTCCTATTTTCTAAGCCACAACCCAGAGTGAGACACGCACTTCAACATCAAGAATTAGTTCACATACACACACGTGCGTATGTATTGAAAATAAAAGTCTCCGCAAAGTAATACTTTCTCCATTTGTGATGCCCTGGGCTCTTTTCTAGTCTATTCTATTCTATTCTCTGTAATTTTTTTATGCTGATAGTGAGTTCCTAAATTGGTTCCTCGAACATCCAGTGGGTCATCACCTGCAGTGTGGAAGCAGCTTCCAGTGCCTCTTGAGCTGTGTACTTTAAGTGTCCATGACTCCATTCTGTGATTTGGCTGTGACATGAATGCCTGCCTTAGACTCGTGAGGACTAAATAAAACAATAAATAGCCAGCACTTACGACAGCGTCTAGGACAAAGTGAGTACTCACTGTATGATGGTTATTATTTTGAACATGAATACGGACAAAACAGAAAGAAAAATAATTTAAAATGTTACCAGTTTTTTAGAATCAAAACCAAGTGATATTAAGGATCTCTTTGTACATAAAAATATTCTGTAAAGACTAAATCTGATTTCTTCCAGCACTACTATGTTCATTAGTTTTCATTTAGAACATGGAGCCTAAGAGAGCAGCAGATTTGGTCTATAAATTCTCAGTGTTCCAAGAAACTTAATAAGCACCTTTTTTCCTTCCTAAAAAAACAACTTAGTCAAAATACCCAGAAGAGAATGTTCATGTCCATAATGTAGCAATAATAGGTCACTAGTTTGCACACTGTGGGCACAGAGTTTGGTGACAGGCAGTTAACAGACAGATGTGAACTACTGCATGGTACTCAATTCAGGAGTTCTATAAAGTAAGGTTTAGACGTAAAATAAGCACCTGCCTGGCAAAGCAGGGCCTGTGGTAGGATGCTTTAAGACTCCACAAAGAGGCCACTTGGTTGAAGGAACTGGACACAGCAGGTAGTTGTCACCAACAGGAGAAGGATTTTTTCCAATCTTTTTTGAAATGGGGTAAAGGAAGTATTCTCTGTTCTTTGAAGTGACAGAATGTTATTTTAAAGTGTAATTAAGTTTTTTTTCACTAATTCAGACTCATCTCCTCTTACTATCAAGGCTGCCTACACCATCACTGTAAAATTACATTAGATTTGTCATACTTCTTGTTTTTTCATGCTTCCATATTAGTTAAGTCTATATTTCAGTGTGGGAAGAGAGAAGGAGGTGGCTAAAAAAGCATTCTCTATGGCAAAAACTTTGTTGCAAAATTTTTCAATGGTAACTCAGAAAAAATAAAACATTTTGCCCCAATGTAAAAAGTGATAAAATATAGATAGATGACCTGGATTTTCTCAGGCTATCTGAACCCTCCTCAATTGCTGGATTCTGCCCATCCCTAAAGGGAATTAAGCAAACATTCACTGCTCCATTTGTAGAAAGAGAACTCAAAGTCATGGCAGTAAAATCTACCATAAGAGAAATAAAGGCCCTAGAAGGATTACCATTTTATGCGGACAAGAGGTTCTCATACACTTGCTTGAAAACTAAAACTTGCAACTTCACTGTGAAATTAATTTCTGTCCTTTTGATTATGGACAGTCTCCAAATTGGACTTCTGTTTTACTGCTGTCAAATAAAGGCCCAACCCATAAATGAACAACCCAAGGAAGAGTTTTACTCTTGATTTCTAATGACTAAATGTGCTTCCTGAGGCACTTGAGAGACCTTAAAGAGCTTTTGATGTTTTCTTTTCCTTTGGGCAAGAGCTGTTCTATCCACACCTGAGCTGGGGAACAAATGCAGAGACAGCTTTGTGCTTGGAGAGCACTTTGAAAAGCTTGACTGAAGCACAGGGACAGATAAAGACGTGAGAGGCTTTTGTTATTTCAAAAGATAAATTAAGAGGCTCAGAAAAAGCAGCGCACATATTTTTTCAATTCATGAATACTTTCCTCCTGGGAGAATTATGCAAGATGAATCAGGCTTTGCACATTACGTATTCTGGATTAATTTATATAACCACAACAACCCTCAGTATCACAGACACGCCCTAGCGCGGCGGTACACCGCGCATCAGGTGAGATCTCATGGTGAAACTCCGGTAGTGTGTGTGTGTGTGTGTGTGTGTGAAAGAGCAGCTCTGGAGTTTAGGCTGATTGTGGTTGAGGTTGTTTTAAAAGCAGTGATAGATCTTTTGATGTCCAGGACAACTGTGCAATCTTTTTCAAGTGGATATTTACTGTAGTTCACAGGAGGGAAAAAAACCTATTATGTAGACATCTGTACAAAATCTTCATGTTCCCTATAAAATTACTGCCCAGCTAAAATAAGAAAGAAGTCAACATAAATGCCTATAAACCTTTCATTTAATGTTATTTGTGGTACTGTAGACCACTTAACACGGCATAACTGAATCTAATGGAAATCAACATATCAGGTTGCCCTGCAATGAACATAGCTGTCCTCTTGTGCTTCTCGTGTATTGATAAAATTGAATATTTAAAATCAGTTTTTTTAAGATAGAAATTCATACTTGCAGGAAGCATAAATAATGTTTAATTAAATAATGTTTAATTTACTAATCATGAAATTGGTTAAGTTTTAAACCATATTCATTCAAGTGATACTTATTAAGTGTACACTGGATACCAGGCATAGGCTAGTTTTGAGGGTTAAAAACAATATTCATCTCTTTGAGGAACTCAATCTGGAATGGCAGGTGAGGGGAATATGTAGACAAGTCAGCATATTAAGCTCATGACAGATACATAGAGAGCTCCGGGTGCTCGGTGGAGGTGGGAAGCTGCGGTGTGCTGGGGATACGGTGGGTGGGGAGAATGGAGGGCAAAGACTGTGGTAAATGTTTTGCGAAGGAAGTAACATCTGAGCTGAGAAGAGTAAGAATTTATTTTCCGTGTGAAGACTGTCAGAACGGTATTCCAAACAGAGCATTCGGCATGAGCAACAGCATCATCACAAAGAACCTTATTCTCTGAAAAAAGTAAAGTAAGAATGAGGTGGACAATCCAGTGACCATACGGGTCCCTAGGGGTACTGATTCAAAATGAACGTTTCCAGGCCCTTCTTCCTAGAGACTGACTCACAGCTCTGCACTGGGGCCCACAAATGTGTGTTATGAACAAATACCTTGGTATGGTCAGGGGCAGGGTGTAGAGAAGAGAGCCATCCTGGTGATAACAAGGACCAGGTGTGATCATAGGTGTGCGATGCAGAGATGATGCAATGCCTACTGAGTCCAGAAACTGTCACCTTCATGTGCAACCTGGGTCATTAACGGTTCACTGGGCAGGTGTCTTATTAACAAACAGTGCACAGCTTCACCCTAGCTGGTGGGGAAAGAGATGCCCGCAGCCATGTTCCTGCCCTAAGGGGAAACCTGGGAGGGTGAACCTGCCCGTAAACACCCAGAGGCCTTTTTCTGACTCTGGGGCTGGAGACAGAGAGAGGAGGCCCTGGGCTGGGTGGCTCCCCGATCTGATGGGAGACCCCATGGTTGCTGTGGTCCTATCGTTCTGCCATTTTGTGGGCTACCTCAATATCCTTTTGTTTGTTGTCATGTTTACTTAAAAAGAGTTAAAGGAGAAAAACAAGGATGTATTATGAATTAAGTGAAACAAATTAATTGAATAAAGAGCATATGGGTCAATAAAAAGTCATCAGCTCGAGCAAACATGTTTACAGCCTAAAAATTCACACCTTGCAAGTGAAATCCAAAAGCTTCAGCTAAAATTTCAAATACTGCTTGAACTACCTCAAGAACATAATGCAACCTCGCAGAAAATCCACTGAGGAGGGAGTTAAATGCTTGGAAATAGAGAAGAAATTTCCCAAAGTGCATGAAAACATCAGCTATCTACAACAGAAGCATAGATGATGGCAGAAGCAGATGGCAGAAGCCTCGGAGAAAGAATCAGAGAGAACCATCTTCTCCCATCAAAGATGAATTCTTAATCATGAAGGAAAAAAGCACAAGGAAGTTGGTTAGCAGCTCTGCTGACTGAAAGCTCAATGAGCTAAACAAAGAAAATGGTCAAAAGAGACAAAAACTGGCTGACAGGGAGTTGAGATCCCAGCTTTTCCCAAATGGCTCCCCCTGTTCCACATGCAGCCCTGGGCAGAGGCCTGAGAGGGTCAGAGAATCCTGCTGGACATCAGGTCCCTGAAAAGAAGAGTTAAACTGTGAGGGCTCGGGGAGGAACCTGCAGACTTGATTCAGGATTGCGGCAAGTGACTACCAAATGCCTACAACCAGAGCAGGACATCTGTTTTCTCCCTTTGAGAAGAACAATTTTGGTTTACCTTTTTAGTTTAACTGCTGTTACTTAATTAATGCTACGTTTGTTCTTACTGCCTGAAACAGCGTTTTCCAAATGTATATGGTTTAAATATAATTCTTATGAATACATTATTCCCATTTCAATTTTATTTGCTCTAGAATCAGATGGTGTTAAGTCTTTTATTTTTATTGAAATAAAAAGTCCACTATACTAAACCATAATTGAGGGAGATTTGACATGGCTGGATGAAGACCTTTGAAACAGTAAAGATCATTTCTATACGCTATGAGTTTTTATTTGAAATCTATAAAAATTACTTAATATTTACATCAATAGGTTTTCATTGGTTTTAAACAGTGCCAAACCCCCCACAAAAACCTAAATAACAATA